CCATCTTACCCTCTGGCTGGATAGCTCCATGAGGCTGAACACACTGTCTGCCATGCTCCTAATCAGACTCTATAGGGGACCAACATGCAGACATCTGAGATCCTTATCAAATGTTCGTTGATTGAATTAATGAACTGGAGGATGTTTTCCAAGGTATTAATAATGATTGCTGGTGACAGGTGAGATTCTGGATGCGATTTCTTAATTTCCTATTTTTCTGTATATTTCTTTTCTTTCAGTGAGCAAGGATTACTTTAGAAACAGAAAATAAAGATAATCACCCAAGGTGTGGCTGCTCACTGTTCACTCATGGTTCACCTCCATCTAACTCTTTTATTTATTTACTTATTTTTGAGGAAGATTAGCCCTGAGCTATCTACCGCCAATCCTCCTCTTTTTGCTGAGGAAGATTGGCCCTGAGCTAACATCCATGCCCATCTTCCTCTACTTTATATGTGGGATGCCTACCACAGCATGGCTTGATGAGCGGTGCGTAGGTCTGCACCTGGGATCGAAACCGGCAATCCCTGGGCTGCCAAAGTGGAACGTGCAAAGTTAACCACTGTGCCACGAGGCTGGCCCCATCCATCTAACTCTTCTAGTTCAATGAATGTTTACTGAGCACCTGCTGTAATATCCAAGGATATTAGATATCCTTAGATATATTCTGTATCCAGGGATACAGAAGAAAACACAAGCTGTTTACAGTCCAGCAGGGGAGATAAACAAGTACAATACACCACGTGTCAATCAGACAGTGGTCATTGCCTCCGCAAGACATAAAGCAGAGAACGAGGATGGGGAGCATGTGTGCTGGGCAGGGACACTTGCAATTCTAAATAAGAGAAGTCAGGGAAGGCCTCACTGAGAAGGTGATGTGTCATGAACTGCAGGAAGTGAGCCCAAAGGTATTGAGGGAACAGGATCTCCACAAAGGGAACAGCGACTGCAGAGGCTCTGAGATGAGAACACATCTGGTATGTTTCAGGAACAGCAGGGAGGCCACTGAGCCTGGAACAGAGTGACAGAGGGGGAGGTAGGAGAAGATGGGGCTGGGGAGGTGACAGGGGCTATCGAGTAAAACATTCTTGCCAGGCTGAAAAATTATGAAGACAGACAACTGAGATAACCTGTATTATGGCTGAAAATACTTGCTGCCTCTCCCCCAGGGAGGGTTACACATCCCTGCCCCGTGACTTCAGGCTTGGTCATGGGCTGGCTCTGGCAGTGAGAGGTGAGTGGAAGTGTGGGGTGGCACTTCTGAGAAGCGTTCAGAGCCTCTGCGTGGATCCACCCGTCCTCCTTTCCCTCTGCTGAGGCCAGCAATACCCCAGGTAGAGAGGCTGCTCCAACAGCCTGGGCCCTGGGGGTGAAAGCAAATGGAGTAGGCGGCAGCAGAGCTGCAACACACATGGCTTTGGTGTTGTGAGGGTCCAGGTTCCTGCTGCCATTCGTTACTGCAGCATAACTTACCTGAAGGTGACTGATAGAAGTATGCCACCAGAATTACTGCCTGTTGAGAGCTTAAAATTACTTTCGCAGCCTCTATCCACCTATCAAAATGACCAAAATAAAAATAAAGTTGACCTTCAAGTGCTGGCAAGGATGCAGAGCAACAGGAAGTCTCCTTTGTTGCTGGTGGGGAAGCAAAATTGTATGACCACTTTGTAAAACTTTGTGGTTTCTTACAAAGTTCAACATAGACTTACCATATGACCCAGAAATCACACTCCTGGGTGTTCCCCCAAGAAAAATGAAAACCTACATACTGTTATGGACTGAATGTTTGTGCCCTCAAATTCACGTTGAACTCCTAACTCCCAGTGTGCTCGTATTTGAAGGTGAGGCCTTTGGGAGCTGACTAGATCTGAGGGTGGAGCCCTTGTGAATGGGATTGGTGCCCTTTTATAAAAGAGATTCCAGAGAGCTCTCTCGTCCATCCACCACGTGAGGACACAGCAAGATGGCCATTTATGCACCAGGAAGCGGCTCTCACCAGACACAAATCTGCCAGCACCTTGATCTTGCACTTCCCAGCCTCCAGAACTGGGAGAAGTAAATGTCTGTTGTTTAAGCCACCCCATCTGTGGTATTTTGTTATAGCAGCCTGAATGGATTAAGACACACGGAAAATATTGAACTTTATCTGAGATCAACGTTCCTGGAGAAATTCTCTCACCCTTCTGTGTTCCCAGAACAGCTAACCATGCAAAAGACCACCTTGTTCTAACATGATCTGAGATCAGACCCAGGTAGAGAGGGGCTCTACTCTTCCTCAATTACTCCATCCTTCCTCGTGTGTCCCCTAAGAGTCATGGACAACTCCCTCCTTTTTCTCCCTCTATAAAACACCAGGCCCACTTTCTTTTCTTTGAGATGTTATGCATTAATGAATGCAAAGATGGATGTGAATTAAGAGGAACTAGGAACGTGGTGGCAACAGTTAGGAATATCCCAACTGTCCATATTGGATGAGAGAACATGTCTGGAACTTCCACACACATTCTTAGGCTCTGGACTTCTCTTAGGATGCTGAAAGCTGCCTTCCCCTCGGCTAACCAACGGGGTGGGAGGTGGGCATAGAGGTAAGGCGCATCTCTTCCTTAGCTTTTCTGAGACTTCTTTTCACTAATGGCTGTTGGTTAATAGACTTAACTCTAGTCTAGTTCTAGAATTCAGGGTTGTGTAGACACCCAAAGGGCACCTGGCTGAGCACACTGTGCCTACTCTCAAAGTAGACAGAGACCACCAGAGGTTCTTTTTTTTTTTTAACATTTAAAAAAAAATTTTTGGTGAGGAAGATTGGCCCTGAGCTAACATCTGTGCCAATATTCCTCTATTTTGTATGTGGGACACCATCACAGCATGGCTTGACGAGCAGTGTGTAAGTCCGTACCCAGGATCTAAACTGGTGACCCATGGGACACCAAAGCGGAGCATGCAAACTTAACCACTACACCACCAGGCCGGCCCAGTCCTTTGTTCTTTCAAGCTGGGTTTAATAACTTGCAAGGCAAGGGAACACACACTGAGCACTTCACTGAGCAGGAGCAGGGAAGGTTAAAGATCTAAAAGAACTAAAAAGGTAGCTGTTGTAACAAATTACCAAAAACTTTGTGTCCTAAAACTGCACACGTTTATCCTCTTACAGTTCTGGAGGGCTTTAGACCAAAATCACTTTCACTGGGCTAACAATCATGGTGTTGGCAGGGCTGATTCCTTCCAGAGTCTCTAAGGGGGAATGTCTCCTTGCCTCTTCTAGCTTCTAGAAGCTGCCCCCATTTCTTGGCTTGTGGCACCTCTGAATCTTGAAAATGCATCAGTCTAACTTCTGGTTCCATCATCACATTGATACTGGCCCTGCTACGAGTTTCCCCACATTAAATCCAGCATATATGGGGTTAAAACAAAAGCACTCATTCCCTGCTTACTCCCTGGCTTCCTGGCTCCAGAATCCACTGTCCTCCATGGAGACAGACACAGCCAAGGACAAGCACCTGGATTTGTTATCTCCCCCTCCTCCTCCCCGCCAAGCCACATGCTGGTGGGAAAGCTGCTGACCAGCAAGGTCACAGGCTCCCTCTTCTCTGCAAGTCATCTCAAGGCCAAAGACAGGCTGGTGGGAAAGCTCCGACCAACAAGGCCATATGCTCCCCCTCCCCTACTTAAAACTCCAAATAAAAACCCTCCCTTTTAGCTTTTCGGGGAGTTTGGGATTTCAACGTTAGCTGCCCTTTCTTTTTGCTCAGCACTGTGCAATAATAAAGTCCTACTTTCTTCCACTACACTGTCAGAGATTGGCTTGCTTTGCCATGGGTGAGTGAACTCACATCATCAGGTTCAATATCAATCTCTTCTTCTCTGACTCTGACCCTCCTGCTTCCCTCTTATAAGGACCCTTGGGATGACACTGGAGCCACCAGATAACACAGGATAAGCTCCCCATCTCGAGATCTTTAACTTAACTACTCCTTTGAAGTCCCTCTGCCATATAAAGTAACAATCAAAGGTTCCAGGGATTAGGATGTAGACGTATTTGGGAGGCCATCATTCAGACTACCAAGGGAGTTCCTGATTGTCGTATTAGTGAAGTATTGCAACCCAGCCAGTGAGAGGACAGAGGAGGGCCTGGGTCTGGACATGAAAGGTTAAAACCAACCGGCCGTAAGTCAGGCAGCGATGCACAAGGTCTCTGATGGTCCATCAGCCTCTCCCAGCTTCAGCTGTCAGCCCTGGTGTAGATGAAGCTCAGCACCCAGTTTTAGCCAGGGCTGCTGCAAGTGGAGAGGTTTCCTTTTGCACTGCCCCAAGGGGACCTTCTTCCTCCTCTGCATGAAAACAAGGTGTGGACTGGCAGTGGCCCTGCTCGAGTCTCAGGCAGGAGCAGGCCAAGAGAATGCAGGGTGGACCAGAAGAGAGAGGGAAAGGGCAGGCGAAAATCTTCTTTAACACTTGTGTTAATTTTCTATTGTTGCTGTAATAAATTACCACTATCTAGCACCTTAACACAAATGTATTATCTCGTAGCTCAGCAGCCTTCACTCAGACTCCTTCCCCACAGGAGCAAGTCAAAACTCCAAGGGGAGCCACCCCAGGGTTTTGAGGCCATGTTAACCAGCTTACACGGTTCACTTGGGCAGCACTGCGCTGCCTCAGGAGGGTCATCCCCAGGTCATCCCAGACCTCTCTGTAGCCTCCTACTCCCCCTTCCCTGAGACCCACCCTCTCCTCCACACTAACACTCCCTCATAATCCAAATCCCAAAGAAGGAAACTATTTTTACACCCTGTGCTGTGGGGTGCCCTGATTCCAGAGAAGCTCCTGCCTGGATGCCCCTCATCCATGCTTACAGCTGCCCCGTGACCCTGGTCTAGCCCCTTCCAGTAAAAAAGGTCCAAGAAACCCAAAATTCACCTCCTTTTGGCCTCACTTTTTTATTCCTTATTAAATTACTATAGCAACAATGTATGATTTGTAATAGAGAAAAAAAATCACTCACATTTGCAGTCCCCTAATAAAACCATAAGTTTATTTCTCCATGATCAACTTTCAGTCTACATCTATATGTGCACATATCTTTACACAGCTGTAATAACAGCAAATCTTCTATGTTCTGCCTTTTTTTGTCACCTGCCCTATTACAAGCATTTCCAATATGGCAACAAAACCTTTACATTTATGGTTCAGGATGGCTACATGGAACAAATCAGAAGTGTCCTAAATGAACAACAATGGGAGTGATAATGTAAACATAACAACTCAGTATGTTTTCCTTTCAACAACTAGAGCAATGCCATCACATTCTCAGCAGCAGACCTTTCCGTCCTAGTACAAGACTGCTTCAGTCTTTTCTTAAGAGGGATGATGTCACTGTTCATTCACAAGCAACTTCCTCCTGAAGCTCTGCCTCCCAAAAGGAGTCCTCAGCATCTGGCAGGACTGTAACATGGAAATACGTTCAAACAGCAAAATCTCACTATCATTCTGTGGTTGCTGTGGGGTGGAGTGTCATGTGGGGTCTCTCACCAGGATGTCTTTACTGATACAGAAAAGACAGTAAGAGCTGCTGCTGGAAGCTTCTCTCACTGATTCCACTTGATTCTAGTAAGAGCCTGCTTTTGCACGATAAGGCAGACTCATTATTAAAGAATTCCTCATCCTGATTACTCACTGAACACACTCACAGGTTCTGTCCAGTTAAGCATTCTGATGCAGGAGTGGGTAGGTATCCCCAGGGAAGTATATTCTTGACATTCACAGGCTTTATTCCAGTGTGTGCACTATCACATTTGGGACAGGCTGAAGCCATTTCCGTATTTATCACCATCCTATATTCTCTCCAGGACTTCCCTAATGTATAGACTTAATAGTACAGCTAAGGAACATCTCACATTCATCAGTTCATTGGAGAGCTTAAAGAATTCTTTTCTATTGACATGAAAAAGTCACCCCTGAAGACATTCCTCCTTCACAGAATTTTTGAGAGCAAGTCAGGAGATGAGGGTGGCCCACATTCATTATGCTTCCATGGGTTGCTCTCCAGGGTGTGCTCTTTGATGTCGGAGGAGGGAGGAGCCCCTTCTGAACGATTTCCCACACTGAGGACACTGGCTGGGACCCTCCCTGCTATGGAGTCTCTGATGTACTGCCAGGTGAGAGTTCTGCTTGAAAGACTTTCCACATTCTGGACATTGGTATGGGGTCTCCTTAGTGTGGATTCTCTGGTGCTTGGTCAGACAGGAGCTGTCCCTGAAAGCTTTTCCACACTGATTACACTCATAGGGCTTCTCACCAGTATGAGTCCTCTGGTGCCGGATGAGGCCGGCAATGTTCCTGAAAAGTTTCTGACACTGGTCACAGCCATAGGGCTTCTCGCCAGTGTGAATTCTCTGGTGCCTGATGAGGTAAGCGCTCTCGATGAAAGTTTTCCCACACTCTTTACATTCGTAGGGTTTCTCCCCAGAATGGATTTTCTGATGCACAATCAGGTGAGAGTTACGGTTGAAGGATTTCCCGCACTCCACACATTCAAAGGGCTTCTCTCCAGTGTGAGTCCTCTCGTGCTGGGTGAGATAAGAGCCATCCCGGAAAGCCTTTCCGCATTTGCTACATTCATAGGGCTTCTCCCCAGTATGGATTCTGAGATGCACAGTGAGGTGGGAGATGTCGGTGAAAGGTTTCCCACACTCATTACATCTATAAGGTTTTTCCCCTGTATGAGTCCTTTGATGCAAAATCAAGGATGAATTTCGGTTGAAGGTTTTTCCACAGTCTAGACATTCATAAGGCTTCTCCCCAGTGTGAATTCTCTGGTGTTGTGTCAGAGCTGACCCATCACTGAAGGCTTTCCCACATTTACTGCATTTATAGGGCTTCTCTCCTGTATGGATTCTCTGATGCACAATTAGGTTGTAGTTCTTGGAGAAGGATTTTCCACACTCGTTACAGGTATAAGGTCTCTCTCCAGTGTGAGTTCGGTGATGTAAGACAAGAGAGGAGTTCCGTTTGAAGCACTTGCCACATTCAGTGCACTTGTATAGTTTCTCTCCAGGGTGACTCCTCCTGTTTTCATTCAGAGATGAACTCAGCGTAAAGATGTCTCCAAAGACCTTACCTTCATACAGCTTCTTCCCTCTTTTCATTACTTTTTGTTCACCAAGAGGGGTAAAATGGTTGAAAGATTTAACACTTTCAGGGTATTTATAAGGTTTCTCTCTTATTTGACTTCTTCCAAATTGACTAATGTCCACGGAATGGTTGAAGGCTTTTCCACAGGCATCATTGTCACCAGTTCTCTTAGCTATATAACTTTTCTGACAACTGTGTAAAGCTGGGTCACAAACAAAACTCTTAACATCTGAGTCAGGTATATGGAAACCATTTGTTGCAGGAACTCTCTGAGAAGGTGGAACATCTGAGCTTGTACTCAAATGCTCCCCAAATCCAGGATATTCACAAATTGCTTCCTGAGCCCCTAGTTTCTCCTGACTTGAAGTTGATTGCCTCACATGTCCGTCCTGGTTCCTGCAGTCCCAATTGTCACCTAGAATGGAGAAACAGGAACCCTCTCTCGTAAATCCTTCCATTTCCATGCCACAGGATTGTTCTTCCTCAGGAATTTTCTGAGCTGTCATCTTCAATCTCGTGTCCCAGGCTGAAAAGTAAAGAATGAAAAATACAGACTTAAGTACATGAAGCTATACCTGGAAGAGGAATGAAAAAGGATGCAGGCCAGGCATGTGGGTGTCATTTCTACTTGCTTTCATTTTCAAATTCACATCTGTACAAGGGGGAGATAAAGTGAGAGCCAAGAGATGGAGCCAAGAACAGGTTCAAAGACAGCCACATGGCATTTTCATCCTCCCAGAGAACAGGCAGGAAGAATGGTACTGGGGGCAAATATCACCAAAAGGATTAGCCTGAGACGTGGGAGACCTGAGACCAGTGTCACTGCTCACACTGGAACACCATCTGAGCCACTGCGTGCTCAGCCACTGTGTGCTTGACCCATTGCTCATACCAACAATCAGTACACATTTTCAAAGGCTTAACTTCACAATGTGCTTACAACAGCACTGAAGGAGTTCTCACGCCAGCTTTGTGGTCAGAGTTCTGACTTCATGGAAGGGATGCAGCACAGGCTCAGTAACTTGAAAGTTCTAGATATACTGATGACCACCTTACAGAGTTATTATGAGAATTAGATCACATCTGAGGCTGGCTCTGAGCTGGGGAATGGACAGAGTTCTGTAACTGGTTGCCAGTGTCTTCACCATTATCAATCTTCCTCTAACCACCTTCCCACCCCTTTGACTTCATGATATCAAGAAAACTAGCTCTCCATATTATTTTCAGGTAAAATGAAATTAGATCCTTACCTCAGAAAAAATATTTTTTAAAAATTCCAGATAGATACTTTATCCCATAAAACCTCAACATAAAACCAAAGTTTAAATTATGTAGGATACCTCCACGAATGGGGCAGTCCTTGATCAACAAGGCTTAACAAGCAAAAACCATACAGACAAAGACTAACAACTTTGATATCAACATTAAAAACTTCCATACAACTAAAGACACAATAAGAGTCAAAACACAAGTGGCAGCTGGAGAGAAAATATTATAAAACATAAAAGAGACAGAGACAAAGGAATAATGGCTGAGATCTATAAAGAATTCTTATAGAACAGCACAAAAAAGAAAAAAATGGGGAGCCAGCCCTGATGGTCTAGTGGTTAAAGTTCGGTGCACACTGCTTCAGTGGCCCAGGTCCACTTCCCGGTCATGGAACCAGACCACCTGTCTGTCAGTAGCCATGCTGTGGCAGCAGCTCACACAGAAGAACTAGAACGACTTACAACTGGGGCTTTGGGGAGGGAAAAAAAAAGAAAAAAATGACTGAAAGACACAAAGAGGCACTTCACACAAAGAAAATAGAAATGTCCGGAAAACATGAATATCTGCTCATTCTCATTATCGTTCAGGCAATTACAAACTACAAGTTTAAGAACACAAAATATGCCATTTCATATTTTCATAAAAATAAAATGAGATACGACAATATAAAAATTGGGTAGGTCACGCAGGAAGACAGTTGGCAAGCATGTAAGGTGGTCAGTCCACTCTGCAGAGTAACTTGGCAGCAGCCATCAAAACATAAAATGGGGACATTCCACCACCCAGCAATTCCACTTGTAGGCATCTCAGATTCAGAAAGCATGAGTCACAAGCACAGACAGACAGCAATCTATACCTAAGGAGATGGTCTCATAGGCCAGCAGGGAGCAGACAGGCCACTGGTGAAGGAATGAAAAGCATGGTGATGGCCACGTGATAGCAAAAACAGAAACCTGAAGGTAATGGAAGGTGACTTTCAAAATGCTGAGGGAAAAATTGTCAGATACACTCTCGTTCAAGAGTGACAGCAAGATAAAGACAGCTTCAGAAAAGCAAAAGCAGAGTTTATCTCCAAGGACGCTAGCTAAAAGAATTAGAAAAGGTTGTTCTGGGAAAAATCCAGAAATGAAGCATGTGTATTTAAATCAAATCCAGCAGTGACCATATAAAATGCAGCAATGACAATGACAGGGGGTTAACAACAGGATGGACTAAAAACTAGAAGGCAGTGGCCTGTGAGATGGGAAGGGGCAAAAAAATTAAGTGTCCTGACATCCCTATATTGTTCATGATTCATGTCAGACCTGGTCAAGTCAAGAATCAAAGCACAAAAATCACGTAAAACTTTCAAACCCACAGAGTAGTAGTTTCCAATCAGGGATGGTTTTACCCTCAAAGGACACTTGGCAATGTCTGGAGATGTTTTTCGTTGTCATGTCTGGGGGGCAGATGCTACTGGCATCTAGAGGGTAGAGGCCAGGGATGCTGCTAGACACCCCTCAATACACAGGACAGCCCCTCACAACATAGAATAATCCAGCCCCAAATGTCAATAGTGCTGAGATGGAAAAATTTCATTATAGAAGGGAAGAATAACAAAGAAAAGAAAACTAGATCAACCCAGAAGACAGTGGTAAGGGGGGAAAGCACAGAATGGACAGGTTAATAGAAAGTATGAAATAGGATGTCAACAATAAGTGTAAATGGCCTTGATGGGCCAGATAAAGACACTGTGTCAAATGGCATTAAAAATGAGTTTGTGACAGACACACCTAAAGCAAAAGGACACGGAAGACAAAAGCGAAAGTTTGGAACAGACAAACACTAACCAAACAAACATTTTATGGCTCTTTGCTAACCAACGATAAACTTCAAGTACCATAACAGGTCGATAAAACAATGGCAAAGATGTCTACATTAACAGCATACCCCAAAACACAGAGCAATGTCAGCCAGGACTGCAAGTCAAAATCAGCAAATCCAACCATCCTGGGAGGTTTTAATGAACCTCTTTGAGAAACGGAGATTCAGGGGCCAGCCTGGTGGTGCAGCAGTTCGCATGTTCGCTTCGGCAGCCCATGGTTCGCCGGTTTGGATCACCCGGTGCAGACATGGCACCGCTTGGCAAGCCATGCTGTGGTAGGCATCCCACATATAAAGCAGAGGAAGATGGGCATGGATGTTAGCTCAAGGCCAGTCTTCCTCAGCAAAAAGAGGAGGATTGGCAGGAGATGTTAGCTCAGGGCTAATCTTCCTCAAAAAAAAAGAAAAGAAAAAACAAAAACAAAACAAACAAACAAAAATGAAATGGAAATTCAGAACTAAACACAGTTAAGCAGGAGAGAACGTAATTAGCCAGCATGACCACATAGCTGGATGGAGAGCCACATACCAACACTAAGAGCCAAATGCTTTCCAAGCACAAGTAGAGCATTTGCTAACACTGGTCATAAACCAGGGCAAAGAACAAGTTCAACAAAGGCCAGACCACAGCACAACACAGACCACAGCCTCTGGACTATAAGTGTCGTTAAAGTCAAAAACTGGGAACAGAAAGAAAATCAAATACAAGAAAAACAATAAGTAAAACTATTTATCTGGAAAAATGAAAATCTATCTCTCAGTAATTCACAGATCAAAGAGAAATCTTGACAGAAATTAGAAAACACCTAGAACTGAACAATGATGGAAGTGGTACATCTGAAAATGTAACAAATGAGGATGCAGCTAACATAGCTCTTGGTGGAAGATGCTGGTCTTTAATGCTCATATTAAAAAAAGAAGAGTGAAGGTTAGTGAGCTCACTGTTCAACTTAAGACTTATGGGAAAGAACCATGGAGTAAGCCAACAGGAGCTAGAAGCAAGGTGGTAATAAAGGTAAGAGCAAAAGTCACATAAACTGAAAACAAACAGCCATGAAGATGAAAAACACCAAAAGTCTGTTTTTTAAAAAGACTAATGACACAGACATACTTTTGGCAAGAGTGATCATAAAAAAAGAGCAAGGCACACACAAGTGCTATTAATCATGAAAAGAGGATTTAACAAAGAAACAGTAAAAAGTTACCAAAATGGCAACGTTGGATTTATCTTAGGAATGCAAGGACTGCAAAACATTAGAACATCTATTGATACAATTCCTTATATTTTCAGATAAAAGTAAAAGACAGCCCCCTACACTCTATCTCAATAAATTCAGACAGTAATCTGAGGAAATCCCAGACTCATGATTAAAACACTCTCAGATTAAAGTAGCACACCCTTTTACTCTATGTCAATAAATTCAGAAAGCACTTTAAGGAAAGCTCCAACTCATGACGAAAATCCTTAACAACTAAGAACACAGGGAATTAAGGTAAACATCACAGATAATGAGGAAACATCAGAATTGTTCACTTTGAAGCCAAGACCAAGACCCCAGATGCCTGCTAAGTCCACAGCATTCAGTAGTCATGGGAGGGGCCAGCTGGTCAGGACCATGCCCTGGGTTGTCACTCCTGGACACTCCTAGTGAAAAACCCTCTTGAAGCTGCCCTGTCACCATACCACGTTTCCCATAGTGGGCCTTCTGAATAGACTGGGGCCTGCGTGGCCTGCGGTTGTCCTGTGAAAACGAGAGTTGGAGAGCACATCCCTACAGGTCTGTAGGAGAAGGATGCATGTGTGCACTTAAGAGAAATGAGATAAGTCAGACATATACAGGATGATACCATTAGGGAAATTTCTTAGACACCAAATATTCTGGAAGCAAAAATATTAAAATGTCCTGGCAAGACATCTACCAAACCTGTGATCGTGACTATCCTGGGGGTATGGAGAGGATCGGACCTCAAGGAGGAAAGAGAATGTCCATTTTACCAATAACAGATACTTTCTTTATTGAAATAAGACTTAGACACCACTAAGAAAGTGAAAAGATAACCCACCAAATGGGAGAAAATATTTAGACAGCATACATCTGATAAAAGACTTGTATATAGAAGATTAAAAAAACTCTTACAACTCAATAATAAGACAATCCAAATTTTAAAAATAGGTAAAGGATCTGAATAGACATTTCTCCAAAGAAGATATACAGATGGCCCATAAGCACATGAAAAGATGATGAACATCATTAGTCATTTAGGGAAATGCTAAAAACCACACGAGATACCATTCACACCCAACAGTGTGACCACTATCAAAAAACAGATAATAACAAGTGTGAGGATGTCGAGAAACTGGAGCCCTCACACACTGTCAGTGGGGACGTAAAATGGGTGCAGCTGCTTTGGAAAACAGTCTAACAGTTTCTCAAAAAGTTAAACATAGAGTTATATGACCCAGCAATTCCACTCCCAGGTATCTACTCAAGAAAAATGCAAACATATGTCTACACACAGACTTGTCCATGAATTATGAGTTCATAGCAGCACTATTCATAATAAACAAAAAGCAAAAACAACCTAAATAAATGTCCTTCAACTGACGAATGGATAAACAAAATGTGGAAATGCACACAATGGAATATTCTTCACCATAAGAAGGAATGAAGGACTGATACATGCCTCAACAACATAGATGAACCTCAAAAACATTATGCTCAGGGGCCAGCCCTGTGGCATAGTAGTTAAGTTTGGCATGCTCTGCTTTGGCAGCCTGGGGTTCATGGGTTCAGATCCCAGGCACAGACTTACACCACTCACCAGCCATGCTGTGGCGTTGACCCACATACAAAATAGAGGAAGACTGGCACAGATGTGAGCTCAGGGACAATGTTTCTCAAGCAAAAAGAGGAAGACTGGCAACAGATGTTAGATCAGGGGTAATCTTCCTCAGCAAAAACAAAAAAAACACATTATGCTTAGTGAAAGAACTCAGACACAAAAGACTACATAGTGTACGATCTCACTTACATGAAATATCCAGAACAGCAATTCCATACAGAATGAAAGTCGATTTGTGGTTGCCAGGGGTTTGGAGAAGGGGGAATGGGGAATGACTGCTAATGTGTACAGGTTTCTTCTTGGGCCGATAAAAATATTTTGGAATTACCTCGTAGTGATGGTTGCACAACTCTGTGAATACACTAAAAACCAGATTGTGCACTTTGAATGGATGAATCATATGGTATATAAATTATATCTCAATAAAACTGTAATAAGTAAATTTCCACCTTCAAGAACTATGCCAGTGATGCTAAGCAGAGACACACAGACATGTCCGCTTAAGGGGAGAAGTCTGCCTCAGCCTTAACTGCAGCTCTTGACCTTGGCAGTACTTGCCCTGTGGGCACCTGGAAATCTGTGAGGCTTTAGGTTGTCACAGAGATGGAGGCAGGGGAGCTGCTGGCATCTTGGGTGGGGATGCAGATTTGCTAGTGTGCCTGGGACTGCCCCACTTGATGCCTGACCAGCCTGTGGATCAAAGTCCCTGCAGGTATCCAGCTGGGGTACTTGAGAACAGAACAAGAATATGTTACAAGACATTAGGAAAAAGGTGCCTTCATTGAGGAGGAGGAGGCTGAAAGGAAATCCAGATATCGCTCCGCCTTCAGGAACTCATTCCCTACTCTTCATCTCTCTCCTTGACAAAAACTGGCTATCCCAACTATACTCTCAGTCGATGAGGACTGAGTGCCATAGTGAGGTTACTGCAAAAAGAACACATGGTCACCAGTATATAGGGGGACAGTAGGACAGACAGGCTTTGGGGAAATAGCATTACATTAGGGCATTTAATGCAGGAATCGCACTGAATTTCATTAATTAAGGTTGTTTTAAAAATGTCTCATATTATTGCCCTCATACATATTTGTATATTACTATTTTTAGCAATACCATGATACAAAATTATGCTGTAAAAAATTCATCTCGATACTGTTCATTTATTTTGGGGGTTTCCTGTTTTTCCCCTACTCTTCATCTGACCCTGTCCTCAAATGTCCACCACTCCACTTCTCTGAAGCCCCATGTTTACTAATTTTCCCCAGCCTGTCCTTCTCTTCCCCATGGTCATCGAAGAAGGTGGTCTCCACGGCTTGCTACACACTGAATGCTGCCCCAGCACCTGCTGGGACTTCAGGTCTGGAGAACAGTTTTCTGTGATAAATTGTCCTGATGCTGTTGCAGTCATAACACAGGGGGTGAATGATCCTTAGCATGTGGATAAGACCCAGCTCATCCAGACAGCCTGGGTTGCTTAACTGCCTAAGTACTTAGAACCTGCCTCCAACAAGGTACCGTCTTTCTTCTTTTCCTACTGAATACACCTGGTCTGGGTCCACTTCCGCAACACTCACTGTTCCAGCAGCATCCACCCACACCTCATCTCATTCAATTTCACTGAAGACTATGAATTCTGACTGTCTCATTTCTCTTAATCCAAACTTACAGTCTCTAGCACTGGGCTGCTTCCTACATCTTCTAGGGTAGCTGTGCCCAAGCACTTAAATATAGAAATATATGTATTTTTTAATATAAATGCCTTTCCTCTTATTGATTCTTTACATGCACATAGGACTTTAGAATTTTTTTAATTATACGGATATTTAACACTATCCATAAAATTCCTTTCAGGATGGTAAAAGGCACATTGCAAAATATTGATCATAAAGAGTGAGCATTACACAAAAATTAACTCAAAATGGATCAAAGGCCTAAATATAAGTGCTAAAACTATAAAATTCTTAAAAGAAAAACATAGGCATAAATCTTCAGAAACTTGGATACAACATCAAAAGCACAAGTCATGAAAAAAATAGATAAATCGGACTAATCAAAATTAAAACTTCTGTGCTTCAAAGAACATCACTAAGAAAGTGAAAAGACAACCCACAGAATAGGATAAAATATTTGCAAATCATGTATCTGATAAGGCACTGGTATCCAGAATAAATAAATAACTCTTATAACTCAAGAACAAAAAGATCATTAACCCATTTAATAAATGGGCAAAGGATCTGCATAGGCAGTTCTCCAAAGAAGATATACAAACGGGCCAATAAGCACAATAAAAAGATGCTCAACATCATTAACCATCAAGGAAATGCAAATCAAAACCACAGTGAGACACCACTTCACACATACTAGGATGGCTGTAATCAGTTCCACTCCAAGGTAGTTATCCAAGAGAAAGGAAAACATACGTCCACACACACACACACACACACACACACACACAAAATAACTTGTACAAGAATGTTTATTAAAGTATCATTCTTAATATCCAAAAAGTGGAAGTAACTCAAATGTCCATTAAGTGATGAATGGATACACAAAACGCGGTATATCCCTACAATGGAGAATTACCATACAATATTCCATATAATGGAACTTATGGAATATCACCCACAAAAACTAACGCACTGATACTTACTACAATGTAGATGAACCTTGAAAACATCACGCTGAGTGAAAGAAGCCAAAATAAAGGACTACATACCCACATAGCCATTTATATGAAATTTCTAGAACAGGGAAACGCATAAAGACAGAAAGTAGATTTGTGATTGCCTAGGGCTGGGAGGAATGAAGACGATGGGGAGTAATTGCTAATGGCACAGGTTTTCTTTTTTGAGATGACGAAAATATCCTAAAATTGATATTGGTGATGGATGCACAACCTAATGAATGTACTAAAAACCACTGAATTGTATACCTTAAGAGGGTGAATTATATATATGTGAATTACATCTCAATAAAGCTGTTTGAAAAAAACAAGCAGATCTTGAGTTTGTCAGAGTCAGAACCACTGGTCTAGACCCCACCTGGCACATTTCTGGTACCTTAAGACTTCATGAGAGAAGTAACAGTTTTATGCGGATGTGCCAAGCTTGTGTAGAATTCTATTCCGAGGCACTCACCTCTGATGGGCTTAATCCCCAGTCTCTATGACCCTTCAGAGGGATCTCCTTAGGCTGGATGCCCGGATGTTGACATCAATGGTTGCGAGACCTCAGCTGTTCGACTCCATGGGTATGGTTCCCGCCATATCTGTGGACCACACATGACGTTTACTTTACTTGTTCAAACAATGCATTCTTTAATAAATTATTTGCCACCAACATTAGCCCTGTCCTGAGAAAGTAACCCACCTAACTACCAGTTGTGATAGAGTCTGACTCCATTTCTGACGACTGACTGTGTTCAAGCCCCCACTACCACCACCTACTGCCCGTTCTCCTTCCACCCCACATCTAGACAAGCTAAGGAGAAGCCTGAGCACTTTCTCCTTGCTGTTGGCAGGAAGTTCAAACCATGCAGCCCCAACAAATGCAAGGCTACCCTGCTCCTAGGTCCTCTCTCTAATTACAATAAAAGCCCAGTCACTCTCCTTTTCCTGCTCTCTCAGGCTATTTTTGGATCACCTTGGGAAGCCTGCCCTGCTCTCCCAAGACAGTCTCATTATGTGAGTAATAAACCTTTTATCCTCTTGGTATGTGTGTGTGTAAAACATAAAGAGAGAGAGAGAGGGAGAGGGAGAGGGAGAGAGAGAGAGAGAGAGAGGGAGTGTGTGTGTGTGTGTGTGTGTGTGTGCATGTGCGCATGTGTTTGAGGCAGGGAAAAAAGAAAGGTAAAGCTAATGTGGCAAAGTGTTAACTTGAGAACCTGGATGGATTTACAAGTGTTCAATGAACTATTCCTGTGACTTCTCCATAGATGTGAAACTTTTCAAAATAAAAAGTTGGGGTGGGGGAGCGGGCCTGGTGGTGTGGTGGTTAAGTTCACCACTCTGCTTCGGTGGCTTAGGGTTCAGGTTCCCATACCAGGCACAGACCTAGCGCACTCATTAAGCCACGTTGTGGCTGCATCCCATATAAAATAGAGGAAGACTGGCACATGCTAGCTCAGCAACAATCTTCCTCACAAAAAAAGAAGGTTGGGTGGGAATGGAAAGAAAGGACCTCAGGTTGGAGGCAAGTTATTTGCTGTGAGGGGAAAAAAGAGACAAAGGCTTGGTACTCAAAAACATATTTTTACAAGTCCAAGTCTCTAACAACCAAATTTTTTAAATTGGCAAAGGATAAGGGATCTTTCAGAGGTGACGGTAATTTTCATAAAGGTTTGGGTTGCATTTGTCAAAACTCATCCAGAGATGCAATGAAGTTCTGCGCATTTCACTGTACGTCAATTTTGCCTCAAAAACTTAAAAAGCAATACTGAGCTCTGATGTTAAGCATAGTGAGGTGTTTGAGGGGGAAGCGCTGTGATATCCGAAACCTACTTTCAACGTATCTCAAAAAAGATTAATGGATGGCTAAAAGGACGAACAGAGGAAAATATGCGGACACAGCAAGGACAGCACACGTTAACCGGTCGGTATAAGGTCGCACAACTTTTCCCTATGAAAACTTTCACCATAAACTACGGGAGGAGAGGAGCTAAGGAAATGGACCACTAAGCCAAAGAGGAAAGCGAAACGGCCGCTGAGCAGGAGAAAAACGCGGCCTTCGCTGGGACTGCAGCAAGACCCGGGTCTGCAGATACCAAGGGAGAAAAGAACAGGTGCTCTGACACTTGCGGGGCGCGGCGGGAAACGGCACCGGCCGCGGGCGCGACGAGGCCACCTGGGCCCGAGACCCAGCGACGCCCACATCGGCCCTCCCACACCCGGCGGTCGCCGCAGCCGCCAGGACACGACGCGGCCAGCCGCCAAACGGCCCCTGTGGAACGACGGGCTGGGTCCGAGCGCAGAACGCCTCAGCGATGTGAAGAAAGGGTCAGGGGGGCGTCCTCACCCGCCAGAAGAGGGGTCCACACCCGCCGCCGGGAGTCCTCACCCGCGAAGGCCCCTCCGAGCCGGACGCGCCCACTGACCGCGCGAAACACGCCGAAAGATGCAGCGCTCATGCCCCACCAGGACCCGGCGGACCCCCCAACACACACACATCGCCCTGTGGGGGAAACCGAGGCACCGAAAGGCCGACGGGCGCGGCGGGACTCACCTCAGGGGGGCAGGCGGCGGCGGCGGCCATGTTCGGGGCGGGTGCGCATGCGCGCGCCAGGACCCGGATGTGCGCGTCTCCGGAGGCCCCGCGGCCCCACCCCGAAGCGCACGGTGTGGAGGGCGTTCCCGACCTTTCACCTCTGCTCCCGGCTGCACCCCGGGTCTAGTCCTCTCATCCTGGGGCGGGGTCTGCTGGGGGTTCCGACTCTCGTCCGCTGGACTCTTCCCCTCCAGTCCGGGTGGCTTTCAGCCCAGCCTGCGGCTTCCGCCGGGCGGCGCGCTGGTCAGCCGGGGGTGCGAGCGGAGAGATGCCCTTCCCCCCGGTTATTTACTTATTCGGTTATTTATTGATATCCATATGGACTCGCGGATATTTACTTTCTCCCATGGCTTTAATCCGATGCCATTATTACTGTAGAGCATTATTTTTATTTACTGCAGTGGTGCCAAAATAATTCTAAATCATAATTCATAATTTTTTTAGAAAAATATATTAAAATTCAGATAAGGACCCCTCATTATTCTCTGACAGTATAATTACTTAGAAATCGAAACAAGCTATGCATTTTTGAAATAATACGACAGTTAAGGATTTTAGATAGACAACAATACAAATCAATGTATGTGTTATGGAAAAATCAGTAATAAGCAGTTAGAAAATGTGCTTTGAAAAAAAGAAATGTTCTCAATTTTATGTATGTGTGTATAAAAGAAAATAATTCCAATAACAAATAATTCGGATACATACAAAAATAATAAATACCCATACTCCCACCATCCAGCATTAAAGTTGGGGGTGGATAGTGGGACCCCCAGAGAAGCCCAGGTAGGCTCCGAGGCCCAGGGTACTAAACGGGGAAGTGAAGGGTGAAGAGATGATTCTCAAAGAATCTCCCTCAATATATTTTTTAATGATAAAGAGGAAACCAGTAATTATACAGTGGAGAAACTTGGCAGGCACCACCTTAACCGTCACCTTTGTGGAATTCTAGCCAAAAGTGCACCACTCAATCTAATCATGAAAAACACCAGACAAATCCGAACTGAGAGACATTCTACAAAATAACTGAGCAGTATTCTGCAAAAGTGTCAAGGTCATGAAAGACGGGAAGACTGAGGAACTGTCACAGATTGGAGGAGACTAAGGAGACACGATAATAAATGCAATGTGGGATCCTGGAACAAAGACATTAGGGGAAAAATATAAAATGCAAATAAAGTCTGTAGTTTACTCATTAACACTGAACCGATGGTAATTTCCTAATTTTAATAAAGATATCATTGTTACATAAAACGTTAAGATTAGGGAAAGCTAGTGAAAGGTATACAGGAACTCTAGTACTTTTGCAACTTTTCTGTTAAGACTAAATTATTTCTAAAATAAAAATTCAGGAAGAAAGCTCTAGTCCTGTATGTACTCATATGAAAACAAGTTCACCATATAGCAAGCAAAAATTATACTACGGCCCAGCCCCACGGCCTAGTGCTTAAGTTCGGCACACTCCTCTTTGGTGGCCGGGGTTCAGTTCCTAGGAGCAGACACACACCACTTATCAGTGACCATGCTGTGGCAGCAAACCGCATACAAAATAGAGGAAGATTGGTACAGATATTAGCTCAGGGCAAATCTTCTTCAGCATAAATATATATATATATTAAACAGTATTGGGATTCACTTTTTGTAAAAAGAGTATAGGAAAAGAATTGGGGGGCCAGAAATGTTGTTTATGATGTGGCAAATCACAAATTAGTGAAGTTGGTTGATAATATTGTTCAAGTCTTCTATAACTTTATTGATTGTCTACTTGTTCTACTAATTATAGAGAGGAATGTTAATGTCTCCAACTATAATTATGGATCTAGTTCTCTTTTATTTCTACCAGTTTTGCTCCATTTATTTTGGAGCTCTAGTGTTAGGTACTTACATATTTAGGATTATGTCTTCTTGATGAATTGGACTTTTTATCACTGTGTAATGTCCTTCCTTATCCCTGGTGATTTTCTCTGCTCTGAAGTCTGCTATGTTTGATAATAACATAGCCGTTCCAGCTTTCCTTTGATTAGTGTTTGCCATGTATATTTTTTCACACTTTTATCTTTAAACTACCTGTATCATTGTATTTAAGCTGAGATTCTTGTAGATACCATACAGTTGGGTCTTATTTTTGTTTTTTATCCAATGTGACAATTTCTTTTTTTTAATTGGTGTGTTTAGATCATTCACTTTAATGTAATTATTGATAAGGTTGAATTTATGCTTACCATTTTATTGTTTCCTGTTTGTCTCTTCTGATTTTTGTTCCTGTTTCCCCTTTGCTACCTTCTCTGAATTATTTGAATATTTCATAGCCTTCCACCTTAGTTTATCTATGAGCATTTTAGCTATATATCTTTGTATTATTTTTAATGCTTCCTCTAGTGATTATGATATATGTATTTAACATATATGTATTTAACTTTTCATAGTCTACTTAGAGTTAATATTTTACACTTCAAGTAAAATATAGACGCCTTACAATCACATACAGCCCTTTACCCATATGTATTATATCTATGGACATTGAAAAACCCTCAGGCAATGTTATAATTTTTGCTTTCAACATTCGTGCATATTTTAATGAGAAAGAGAGTTGTTGTGTTTACCCACAGTTACTATTTCTGTTGCTCTTCCTTCATTCCTGAAATTCCAGTGATCCTTCTGCTATCATTTCCCTTCAGCCTGAAGAACTTCCTCTGGAATCTTTATAGAGCAGGTTATGCTGGTGATGAATTCTCTTACTTTTTCTTCATCTGTGAATGCCTTTCTTTTTTCTTTTTTTTTTGAGGAAAATTATCCCTGAGCTAAGTGCTGCCAATCCTCCTCTTTTTGCAGAGAAAGACTGGCCCTGAGCTAACATGCGTGCCCATCTTCCTCTACTTTACATGTGGGATGCCTACCACAGCATGGCATGCCAAGCAGTGCCATGTCCGCACCCTGGATCTGAACCAGCAAACCCCAGGCCGCCCAGAAGCGGAACATGCGAACTTGACTGCTGCGCCACCAGGCTGGGCCCCTGTGAATGCCTTTCTTTTGCTTCATTCCTGAAGGATATTTTTGCTAGATATGGAACTTTCATTTGACTTGTTTCTTTTCTTTCAGCACTTTAAAGATGTTTTCTCACTCTCTTGTAGCTTCTGTGGTTTCTAACTTGAAATCCACTATCACTTGAATTATTGTTCCCTTATATAAAATGTTTCTTTTTCCTTTTCCTGGTTGCTTTCAATAATTTTTTGTTTTTTCCTGGTGGGAAGCTGGGGGTGGTTCTTAGCAGACTATGATTTGTCTGGGCATGGTTTTCTGTTGAGGACGACTGAGCTTCCTGATTTTGTAAATTAATGTCTTTTACCAAATTGGGAGACTTTGTAGCCATTATTTCTTCAAGTATTTTTTTTCTACACAAATCTCTTTCTCCTCTCCTGATGCTTTCATGGCACAAATTTTAGAGCTTTTGGTATTGTCCCATAGGACTTACCTCAGTTTATACATGGAATTTGAGGATCCTCTTCTTTAGCTCTTTCCTCACCAGGATTTCCCCCACATTTTTTGGCAGCCAGCAGCTTTTTTCCCTAATTTCTCTGGCCAAAAAAATGAGTTTCTTTCAGAATTCAGTTCTGTGCCACTGGAGCCACCTTTGGGGTGTAGCAGTGAGAGAAAAACAAAGCAAAAAATTAACTGAGATTTTCCCCACAGTCTTCGGACAACAGCAGTCCATTTTCCTGGATTCTCTAGCCAGAGAGACAGGTTTCTCTCAAAGTTTTAGCCCCTTGTGCTATTGTGCAATTCCACGCAACGGGGTATGCCTTCCAGGAAAAGTGGTGGGTGAAAAGAGCAAGAAAAGAATAGGATTCCGTGAAACTGTTTGTTCAACTAAGGCTTCTTTTTCTGGTCCTCTGACTAGAAATAGGGGGTTTTCTGGAGTTTTGCTGTCTGTGCCTATGGTACAGTGCCAGAATTTCACCTGCTCTTATGTGAAAACTCAGAGAAAAATCAGGGAGGAAAAAAACACAAAGGACACCTCTATTACACACAGATAACTATTCAAGTTTTGGCTTCAGTTCCCAATCTGCCTGCTATTGTTTACTTTTCAGAGTCCGTAAGTAGCTGGTTTTATATTCTATCTGGAGATTTCAGTTGTAGTGAGAGGGAAAGATAGGCTGTAATTAGCTTACACCAGCTGGACCAGCACCAGAAACTGTATGAAACTTCAGAAAAGACAAAACTATAATGACAGAAAGCAGATCAGGGTTGAAAGGGTCTTGAGTGGGAGCAGTGAGTCAACTACAAAAGGCCACAGGAAACTTTAGGGTGATGGAAGTGTTCTCTATCTTGGATATGTTGCTGGTTATAGAACTGTATACATTTGTCAAAACACATTTACCTGTTTGCTTAAAATGGGTGCATTTTATTATTCATAAATTATACCTCAATAATGCTATTTTTTTAAAAAAACCGATGACATACCACTTCGCACCTACCAGAACGGCTAAAATTGAAAGGATTCATACCACCTTTGTATTGGCAAGAATGTAGAGCAAGTGGAACTCTCACATACTACTTGTAGGAGAACAAAGTAGAGTAAGCACTTTGGAAAACTGTTTGGCAGCATTTACTGAAGCTCAACAACAGGACGACCTGTCACCCAGCGATTCCACTCGTAGGCACAGTCCCAACCAGAAATGCATATCAAGATGCCCCTACAGCTGTGTACAGGGGAGCTACTCCCGGAGGGAAGAATCAGGATTCCAAGGAGCCTTCTTGCGGTCAGGGCAGGGTTTCGTGAGCGGGGTCACTGGAGTCCGCCTTTTCTTGAGAGACCCCTGTCCCTGCCCACCACTGGACATCGCGAAGGACGTGGGTTCAGAACTCGCCCCTTAGCCTGGATCCCGAGGAGTTTCTGGAGCTGAGCTGGCTCCTGAGAGTGGACAGGACTTGGGCCATTCCTTGGGGCGGGTGCGCAGTGCGTGGGAAGAGAGGCCTGCACAGAAAGAGAGCCAGAGGGCGGCAGCCACCGACCGGCGGAGTCTTGCGAGGACGTGCGGTCGGCCCGGAAGCGAGTGCCCGCCCAAAAGCCGGGGCCTGGGGGACCACCTCCACTCACTGCCAGCCGCCCACGCCCCGCCACGGCTCTCCCGGCTGCACCGCCGCCGCCGCCCTGGCCGAACGCTCCGGCGCACCTTCATCACCCAGCAGCCGGGCCCGCACCCTGCTCTTCGCGGCTCCCACCCGCAATGGCAGACGCCCGCCGCGCCACTGTGCATGCGCATCCGCTCCGGGCTTCCCTGCGCAGGCGTACTCCCCGCCGCCTACATCTCCCAGAAGGCCTCGCGGCGCGGGGGCTCCAGCGCCTCCCGCGGGTGGCGTTAGCCGCGGCGGCGGCGCCCTCTGTCGGCGACAAGGGGCGATGACAGCGGGTCCCGGACGTGAGGGTCTTTTGAGGTGCTCAGGGGGATCCCGGGGCCCCCCGGCTTGAAGTGACCCCACAGGCGAAAGGGAGAGCCACTGCGGTGTTCAGACTCGAGCAAAGGCCGCCAGGAGCCTGACGCGCGTGCGGTTCTCGCCGGGACTCGCGCCCTCCGGCTGCCCGCGGAGTCCGACGCGGCCGGCAGGGGGCGGCAGGTGACTGCGGGGGTCTCTCCCCGGCCGCCGCGCGCT